TCTAGAAATGGACGGATAGATCGTACCTTTTCCGAAATCTCATTTGACCATCACCATACTAAGCGTGCGCACCCTTAATGTACCTGGTCACGATGGTAGGGTTGGCAAAGGTGAGGCGGCAAGGTCTGATAGCATTGAAGAAAACATGCGCTAAGGTGAGGTGATGTAGACCGGGTAACTGAGCAATAGGCAACTTAAGAGAGACTTTGAGGCTCACTTGTTCATACAAGATGCCTTCCAGTATGGTTCGTATCCCGCCATGAGCGATCGGGAGCAGGGGTGACAATATGTATGGTGGTGCCTAAGGTTGGCCAAACGTTGGTACTTCCAACGCTTCGAATAGGGTCTCCTAAAGGCAATACTCGGTTCAGTTTGCCTAGCGAAGAACATAAGGGTGAATCCAATGGAAAGATGGGCGATGCAGAGAGCGACCAACAAAAAATGAAGCTTAAAGGGAATCAGATGGTTGCCTAGATCTCCAAGGATACCAGCATAGCTAAAAATGGAAGACTCTTATGACATATGCACCTCAGGCCCAAAAACCTCGCCAATGTGTTGAAGGGAGGCTAGCTCTAGGAATGGAAGGAGAGCAAAACGAAAATTTTTGTATTTGGAAAAACGGTGTCCGAGGTCCTGGCACGTGCCATAAACTCGAGCGCACAGGCCATCTGTCCCCCTGACTCCGCCATGTTCGCGTTACTACCTTTCGTCTCCAACCTGAAGATAAGTATTACAAGAACTCAGAGACTTAGGTTCGCACCTATATTTATGAAGTCTTGTCAAACTGCGGCCGAGCCTTCGGCATAACAAGGCTTGTTGCTTCGTGTTATCCTTGCGTTCGACGTTCATGCTTCCTGGTTTTGAGCAAGCATACATTTTCCAGTCAGTCTATATACGAAACACATCTGCTCCTGGTCGCTGCTAGTAACACACGGAATTACACTCGTGGGTCTGGTACATCCTTCGGGCCGGGAACAACTATTCCATATCAGGTTTTACATCAAGTGTATATCTACACATTTATTCCTGGTATAGACCACCACTGGTCTAAATTGACTGACCTTCCTCCATCGTACAGATCTCCGATCGTTGAAATCCCATGATCTTGCTTGCAATCGGAAAGCTGACACGACACGAAAGCATCAATCTGTGGAGCAACAACTTGAGCCTCTTCCGACCTGTCCCAGCTTCTATGCTAGTCTTTTCACCGTCTTGACTCTGGGGTCCTCTTAGGTTCTTCAACCAGGGCTTGCATGCTACAAGTGGGACGTACATTTCCTTTCCGTGAATATCACTGAAAGTACAGAGTACTAGAATACATATATCAATGGTAAGTGCCCAGATGAGATCATCGTTGAGGATCATTTGCTCTTGGTGGTGCTGCGAAATGCCTCGGTGTTCAAAACAGCGGAATAATTAGGCTTGCTTCGTCCATGTTGCGCCAGCCATAGCGCAAATTCAGGTCAGGAATATCAATTTGCCATAATCGAGATCATGAAAAGCGGTTCGATCCTTCCAGCGAAACACCAGTGATTGAAGATGTCCGGAGGTGGTCGCATTCTCAAAGATACCAAGGCCATCGATACAGATTATCAAGTCATCCCATCAATCCGCTGGCTCAACAGAAGCGTCGAGAAGTAGCCGAAAGACAACTACTTTTTCGAATCGTACCTGCGATCTCCGACTTGCGATGAATGCCTGTTGCAATCTACCAAATCTGAGGAAGGATTGGTGTTACCGATCACAGCGAAGGTATTTCTCACTCTCGGTAAGACCTCAGAACGGCGTCATAGAAACAAAATAACGATGGTATCAATACTAGACAGATATGAAAACCAGTATGCAGTGCCTAATGATTGATTCTCTAGATAAGTTCCTATGACTAGCATGATACGAAGACTCAAAGCCGGCGAACAGCACTATAAAATCAGCTTTTAGGTGACCAGTATACACTAAAACTCTTACTTCTCACACGATGACTCCGAATCAAGCCAAGTTGTCTTCTATGGGAGACCCAAACTTCACCCAAATGTACACAAGTCATCGGATAGCTTAAACTCGTCAATGCACTTGACCTCATAGACGTCAGTCCCAAAGTTATAACTTCAACTTATGTCCTCTAAACATCCAGAGATAACTTATTCCCATTTGATGACCATTAGTAGAAGAGACCAGGTACGACATGTTGATGACTTTTAGAAACAAAACCTTATTCGTATTATAGACATCAATTACAGTCGCTGAAAAATCAAACTTGGACGGGATCATCTAACTATTCTGTATATTCCTCACAACTCCGAAACCTCAGTCTCGACGGTCTTTCTGGCCTCTGCGCGTACGATAATCAACGCAGGGGCAATTCCCTAAACCGATTTTCTGGTCACAGAATGTTTTACTAACAGATAGTCCACTCACACAAGCATGATAGACGACTTCAAATAGATCGAAAGGAAATCCCGGTGCTCTGGACTGTTGCGGGAAAATGACGTAGTTGAAGGTGAGATCTAGGATTTGTACCATGGGATATATTATTCCAGACTCCAGTCTGTGCAAGGGAGTTGTCAGTAGGATATATTAATGTCAGAGATCGTGGTCACACACAAAATGGCCACGATAGTGCAGTATTTCTTCTGCATGTCGATTCTGCGCGCTATCCACCATATACGTCCCGCTGAATAATAGTTGATTAGTGATACGACATTAGTGAAGATCTCGGCGAAAAAATAGTCCCACACACCGGTTAGTCCAGTCAACCCAAAATTGAAGACCGTATTGGTGACTCGAAAGGTGAAGCTTAAGTATGACGTTAACATTTGCTTTGAAGGATACTGGGGGGCGATAAAGGTTGTCATAACCGCTTGAATAACCGCTATAGCTACTTTCGGATTAGAACCGCGTCACGACCAGGGTGTGAGACATACCGACTACAGTTATCAAGGCCGTGATCATTAGAACTGCAATTCGCCTGCTGGATCCCCATATGATATAACACCGATGCATCTATCAAACAGTTAGATAGTGCTTCCTATAGTCCGAAGGAGGCGTACCAGCATAGTGTCGGAGAGGAAGCTATACTCCGTGTATGAGTGGTGATCGTGGTCGCACTGAGAGACTGACGTACGCAGTTGAGAGCCCAAACACCTGGGTTAGTACGCTACACACATCATCAACAGAGCTATCCTCAGAAGATTATCCGCTCACTTACTCCCACATAGTCTTGAGGCCATCATGACGCCGAACATATGCCATCGCTGTACTGTACTCCCCTGCCGCTGACGCGTTGAAGAACATTACAGCTTGACCAAACAGGCTGCATGTCTCAATGACATTGAGCGTAGAAATGAGAAGGTAGAGAGCGATGCTCCATGCAAGGTATAGGTCTCGATTACGGCGGCCGTTTCGTTTCATCAGAATCCGGATGCAGCCGCCAAAGAGGTATGTGTAAAGGCCTTGAAAGAAGCATCAGGTGAGATCGCGACGTAAGATGCTCCGAGGATTACCATAGAGAAAGGACATGACCTGTTGCATATAAGCACGTGATACTGTCGAAAGTTTCAGAAGACTACCCACCGATATTCTGAAAACAGGCTTTACAAAGACATTCTCCACTGTCAAATATGGGTCGAGATCTGCTGCTGCTCCCGACATGGGACCTGTATTGGGATTGCATGGTGTTCCGACTTTATATTCCTCTGACTAGTGAGACTAGAAAAGCCTCACCATGCGTAAACCGGACCCCACTCACCAGTCATCACATTAATCAGAATCAATAATAGTGCTTGGAACCAGTATCGATATCATACGAGGCCGTGGCTGAAATGAGGACGGGAGGCTGGGTATTCTCATAGATGAGCACAGGTGATGATGGTGAAGAAAAGGAATTACCAACGGATATCATCGCCATTACTGTTCCGCGAGCTGCAATCATACAATACACTCGTGGAGCATGAATCATCTCAATGATTATCAAGCCACTTGCTGAGTCGCGCGGACAAGGGATCTCGCTTCGACTTCCCATGAAGTAGTGGTTGCAACACCGAGCACGAGGGCGACAACTCAAAATAGTCTCCCACGAACCTGCAGGTCGATGAAGATCTGATTGTCAGAGATGTGAAGCGATAACGAACAGGGTTCCCTACTTGTGGGTTTCGTCTCTGATTTCGGTGTTGGAGCGTGACGTGATGATCATGATGGGACTCGTCGACAAGGTCGACGAATGTAGACCAATTCGAGGATATAGACAGAGAATGCAGGAAAAAGCAAAGGGGAAGGAGCAGAGAAGAAGAATTTTATGCTGGGTAAATTCATCGTGTAGGCCTGTGAGTAATGAATCAATTGGTACGCAGGGCGTGCGATTGGTTATTGACCTGTCGTCGTATCTGAGATGCCACGGGAAATGAACGAACAACGAGGTTGCTTTAAATCGATTGCCATCTAAGCAGGTGTGCGCTGCGACACTTGACGAGAGGGGGATTGAGTGGCAGGAAACAGTTGAGGAAATTGAATCGGACGGGAGAAGTCGATGATGAAACCTTCGTGTTCCACGCGTATGATGGTACGTATCACATTGTAATAGCTCCCTAGACGAGACGTCTAGGTATGGTAGCTTGGAGCTTTAATTCACCCGAGACCTGGACACAACGAGGTTTTATAACAACGTAGGGACAAGTGCTGGGCAAAATAAGACTAACGAAGGTAAGGAAATGGGCTTGTTTATATAGTGATAGTCTAGGTAAACGGATAATGGGAGACCGGAGATTATAAGGGATGCATAAATGTTGAGAAGTAGGCGTAGGCGTTACACACATGAAGATTTACCCGCTACTTAGGCGCTTAAGATCACGGCTCTTACGCGTTAAGGTGTAGGCCATAGTTTTCACCGTTTCGGGAAAATATTTCCTTCCAACGTGTGGAGACTCGAGAGGCTGGCGACACGTATGTGCTCTGCTCGTTCTATCATGGCTATAAGCTATATCTACGGCTGCTGGACCCAACTCAGAGGCGCTATAGCCAAGTGGTTACGGCGACAGATTAGAATATAACACTTGATCTGTTCCTCTTTGAGGGCGCAGGTTCGAATCCTGCTGGCGTCGGTGAAAAGCGAGGAAACTCGAGCTTGATTTTGTCGCGTAGAACCATCAGTCGAAAGGCCTCCTGCGTTTCTCCTGTTTCCTCCAGTTTGCATACCCTATGCATGCCTTACGCAGCTGGTAAGGATCTTTCATGTACATCAGTGTCTCCTCGGTTGGTATAGATAGCGTAACGAGCATTGGTTATGGGTAGGTGATTACCGTCAAGACATAATTGGTGTTGAACGGGTGTTTGCGCATACAATCTTGGGTGAAGCGAGTACTTCCAAGTGGAATTGCGCTGCATTCGAATGCTAATGAATCAAGGGTCGCTGAGGTACATAAATAATAGTATCCGTTCACAGTTGGACAAGTAAGATAATGAAATTACCTCAAAAATATGCTCGACGGATATGTGTACTGAGATGCTATTGATTAACCATATCGGGCGATCACATGACGCGATTATCCTTACATGGCTTATCATTCGATATTTCAGAACACCTTTCAGTGGGGGTTTGAGGGATATCCGCTGAGCAGAAATTTTGGTCCTTCCGGTGTGGGTGGAAGCATGAACAATTCGGTTATACTTATAGGTAACTTGGGTTTTCCCACAGCGTTTAGTAACTCGGAGTGATGGTTCCCACAGTATCCTTCAACCTCAACCATGACTATCGTTGTATCAAAAATGCTCTTCGCCCCGAATGCAGCTACACACTCCAAGTCGCGCTCTCAGATTGAAGGAGTCAAGCCAAGACAAAGAAGCAGCGTGGAAAAAGTCACGAGACACTGCCTCCGCGTTATCGCTTACTGATCACAATGCAGTGTCGCTTGTCTTACACTGCCATGAGCTTCTAGGTGTACATATAAACATCCAAAGCGCAGTCCTCCTCTGTACCCCCACCATCATGTCGTACTACCAACCACAATACCCAGGTCAACAGCCTCAATACGGATACCCAAATCAACCCCCTCAGAGTGGATATGGATATCAACCTCCTCCAGGACCGGTAAGGATCATGCTTGATGTCTATTGATGAGTTTATTTTGACTCTGATTGATATTTAGCCACCATCAGGGCCTCCGCCGATCCCCGTGCATTCACACCCTGGCTCTCAGAACCCATATCAACAGCAACCGTACTATCCGCCGCCTCCTGGTCCACCTCCAGGCCATCGTCCAGGCTATGTGCGTGGCTCTTCCACTGCAGAATATACTCTCTACTAACATCTAAAATCGTCCAGAATCCATCTTATATCACGCCGCCCGGTCCACCAAATGCGTACCATCAGCCACCTGCCTTCCCGCCGCCCAATTCTCCGATGAACCAAAGCTATGCTCCTCCACCTATGCCTCCGCCAGGCCGAAGCCCACCGATTTCATACTATCTTAATGCACCCGTTCCAACGCCCGATATGCAGAATCCACATCAACCAGCTCCGCCAGTCCCTGGATATGATCCAACAAACGACTATGAAGCTATTCGGAAGGCAACGAAAGGGTTTGGAACCAAGGAGTCACTATGTACGTTCTCTCCCGTGCATGCCTAGAGAAAACTGACAGGCGTACGCTGAACAGTGATATCTACTCTGGCCCCGCTTGATTCGATGAAGATGGCCGCTCTATCTGATGCGTTCAAGGCGAGGAGTGGTAAAGATCTGCCAAGTGTAATTGAGAGCGAGACTAGTGGGCATTTCAGGTGTGTGTCCTCATCTTCCTGAGAAAAAGCCACGACTAACTTCAATATCAGAGATGTTCTCCGCGGTATCGTTCTCGGCCCATTATGGTATGACGTTGAGCTCGCACAACAGGCGTTGAGTGGATTTGGGTGCGTTCGGTCGCCACACTCTACTCCTTCAACAATGCTCATCTTTTTCTTACTCCCAGAACCAACGAAACTCTCCTCACCGAAGTCATTGCTGACCGTACTCCATCCGATATCAATCTTCTTTCTGTGGCGTATCAGCTCCGGTTCCATAAGACTCTTGAAGCCGCAATTAAGGGTGATCTGAGCTTCAAGACCGAGAGATGTATGCTCCTCATCCCTGACACGTTTCCTTGTCTGACGCTTTGCCGTAGTGTACACGATGATGTTAACCAACAACCGACCTCCAGATAACATGCCCGTGGATTACAATTTGGTCGAAGCGGACGTGCAAACGCTGTTCAAGGCAGGACAGGATAAGATTGGTACAGACGAGGTATGGGGTTATGCTCCGCTTGTGTTTCTTTAGATAATGCTAACATTCAACAGATAGCGTTCTGTGAAGTCATCGTTAATCGATCAAGACCCCATCTCGCTGCCATGTTCGTTAACTTCTGTGGCCTCCTTATGACGAATCTGACTCGTTTCAATCAATAGCTGCGAAGCTTATCCGAAGAAGCACAAGAAGACGCTTACAAAAGTGATCAAGTCCGAGTTGTACGTCCTTCTCACGTCAATTACCTGTTTATCTGTTGACACGAGTTCGTAGCTCCGGCCATATGCGATTCACGTTACTCTACATCGTCAATGGTGCTAAACCTCGCCCCCGGCATGGTATCACCTCACAAAACGCAAGTTTATGGAGAGACGCAAAGCTTCTCGAGGCATCGATGAAAGGATTCGGAACAAAGGACAAGGAGCTTGGCTGGAGGTGTGTACTGTTTTCATCGTTCTCCTTCCTATATTAATGCTTACTCGGCTATAGAGTGGTAAGAAACCATTGGGATAGGCAGCGTTTCAATGCTGTCAAAGACATGTATCAGAGAAAGTACAGGAAGACACTGGAGAAGCGTGTTGAAGGAGAGACGAGTGGTGACCAGAGGAAGGTTTTGTTGGCGCTGATTACTGGATAAGAGGTCTTGTATTTGTAGAAATATTGTCTATTTCCGATGCATCGTTTATCTTGTACTAAATAGTTAAAATCGCCAGTAAGTATAGCTTGTGATATCTCTTTCGGTGAGTAGGCGACAACGTGGGATTACATAAATTGTACATAACTCGGGAGCGAGGTGACGCAGGGACCTCAGACACCCTTTTTTCATTCGAACCGTCACCATCGTCCACAAAACGCACTCATGAGCTTAAGGTGAAGCATTGTGTCTTTCATATAGAGATTCAGTCATTGAAGGACTCTTTTGATTAGGAAACACAACGAGGAAGACATTGATCCACATCTCACAACTCTCCTTCGTCTCGGTCGAGAGCTCTCCCCCGACGACCGAATATTTGTTTTGGATCATCTACGAAACACGCAGAATGAAGACCTCCGGTTGAAATGCTCCTCACTATGCGCACCCATCAGGAAGCTTCTTCCAGAACTCCTCTCCACCATCCTCATTCTTGCTGTCGAACCTTCTTTCAACGTACATCACTCGGTGCTGAACACGATTTCTCTGCATCAGCCATCAGCCGTGTATCTTTCCATTGGCGTCAAGTATGTCTTTCCACACCCCAACTATGGGCCAACTTAGACTTCGAGTTCGATGCTCCCTATCCGAAGGGTGCTGTCAAACAAGTGCTTATGCACCTCCAGAGGTCGGGGACAGTTCCTTTAACACTGTCCTTTGAAGTGAATGGCATGGGTCCGCTGCCTTTCTCCCAGCGAAAGACATACACGAAGTTCTTGAAACCTTTGTTCAAGCAGTCGGATCGCTGGTCAACCCTTTCGCTTGTAGGAACCGATGAGGGCATGGCAGGATTTTTTCCCATGCTAGAGGGGCTTTCACTTAGTAACGTCACTACATTCGTAGCTGAATTGGGAACCATAACTTCCAGAGGTCAATCCATCGATTTTCTAAACTTCCTTCAAAGGAAAATGTCCCAACCTGCGTTCATTCTCCAATCTCGGACATTACGACGCGTCGTGGTACACCTACTCTTCCTTCTCCTTCCACACACTGCGACATTTGAAGGTGTTTGGAATCAACGCTGAAACCGTTCTCGAAGCTATGAGACGATGTAGCTCATCTCTCGAGTCATTAGAAATGGTGGTGGCCTCTCCTCAAAAGGACCCGGGTTCTTTGGTAATCGATTGCGTTACCCACCTATCGTCACTCCGCACGTTTTCCATGAAATACGTTGCTAGATGTAAGGTCGTTACAGATATCGGACCCCATGCCTCCTATATTCTCGGCACCATCACTGCGCCATCGCTTCAGTCGTTCACTATAGAAACAGCAGGGTACTCTCGGTTTGAGCCAATGCCTGCAGTAGGATCCTCATTACTCTCAGGTATCAAGGGATTCTTTGAGCACTCAAAGTTTCGCCTGCGTCGGTTCAGCTTATGCGGCGTACTTTGCAGTACTCAGGATCTGCTGCATATTCTGGAAATAATGAGCGAACTTCGAGAGTTGGTGCTCCACGAGGTGCCTCCTCTTGGACTTTCAGAAGTGTATGATCACTGCCCGAATGAACTCGTCACGACGGAGCTGATCAAGTCCCTGACCATCGACCTGAACGGGGATGTTCTGCTTCCACAGCTACAGAATCTGGAGCTCCGCATACTGCAAGGGTGGGAGCATGACGTGTTTGAAAGGATGTTGGAATCACGTTGTGGCCATGGCTTGACGTCCGTCTATGTTGCAGGGGCCCGCCGCACGCCGTTGGAACGCGAAGATTTCCTTGTTGACATAGAGAAGTTAGGCAAGATCGATTTAGCGGTGAGGGTTCCGAAGATCTTGGAATACGAGGTAATAGAACGGTAGATAAATTTCGTTTTAGTTCCTGCAGACTTGCTATATTTCTTGATATTCTTGAGTGATCGGTAGTTAGCGCCCATACGAAAGCAAATCAATGACTGCGATTGTGACTCTCCCGCGCAAGACCTCTACTACGTTCATCAACCTCCTTGTATTCCGGAGTCAAGGTACGTCGCCGTCCGCATTGTCTGCCACGTTTGTCTAGCTTTCTCTTATTCGAGAGGGATTCATAGTATCCTCATTCTTCCTCTACGTTACACGGAGATACGGCAAACGGCACAACTACAACAAAATCATTTCCAGCGTATCGTATACTTTATGGGCTACTTATTTCAACCTCT